TAAATTATAGTTGAATTCTCTGGTATTGATGTAGTAATTTATGATTTTTTAGTTATTCAGAAGTATATATAAAACCTAAAAAAAATATTTTGTTTCATGTACTCCACATGCAAAATTTTTAAAGGCTTATCAACCTATATCAAGCAGCGACTGAGTACAAAAGTCAATAATTGTTTGCTTTACTTCTTTATTTACTGTTCTATGTATTAGGAAAAATAACTTTAAGAACTTATTTTAAAATAGCAATAATCTATATACATATATAATGTATAATAATTTAAATTAAAACACAGCCAAGACAAGTTACTTTGTAAAGACCGAAGGTCACCTTTAAGTTATTTTATATATTACATGAGTGCACGTGAGCCACGTCATTGCAACTTGTGTATTGTTAGCCAGGCACAGGTGAAAGGTCAATGTAATAAATATAATAAATATATATAAATGTATAATGTTATGAGATTTAAGCTATTTCGTCTAATATTTCGTCTGGCAAGGAACTCATTTTTATGTACCACAAGTTATTACAGAACTGTATATTTTCTCAACTGTAACTACACTTTATTTCATACTTACTGTGCCTGGCAAGGAACTCATTTTTATGCCAATTTTTGCTTTCATGTACCCACATTAAACTACTTCAGACACACACGTATTACTTACAAAAAACTGCTTCAGATATGTATTGAAAATTTTCTTAACATTCAAGTTATCCGGCCACTCCCGTATTACACTGCAAACACCCTAAAAACAAATGAATCAATAATGTGAGGTCACGAAGGAAGTGCACACTGTGGGTGAATAACTTTACAATAAGTAATCTTATTATATTTGTTTGTAAATACTTTAACAAGCTCTTTTGAATTAATGGATAACATACAAGATCTTACTAGTCACAGTTGAACTACATCACAACTCTGCACTATTTGAAAATATGTCTATGCAGCCAAAGTGACATCAACAAAACATTAAAACTTGCAAGGGATTCATGATGGGGAAACTGAAGTCTAATAATGGAGATAAAGACGACCGATAAAAGAGAAAACGTTTTATTTACAAGGTTCAAACATTTCGAAATACATTCATTCCATCTTTAGCGAAATCCAAAAAGTTTATTTAGTTATTAAAGGAGGTGTCAAATATCTAAAATCCTTTTGTTTTATCCTTCCATTTACCACTTCTATTAAAAACCAAGTAAACTAGTGATTTTCAGATATTGCTGAAGATGGAATGAATATATTCCAAAATGTTCGAACCTTGTAAATAAATTGTTTTGTGTTTTATCAACCATCTTCAACTTCATTATTAAACATTTAAACAACTTTTCATATTATTTAAAGAAAGATGGCACTATCTGTTGACAAAGGCACCTCTACTATCTTTGTAAATGAACAACATAAAAATGGTTGAGCTAACTGCTTGGAGTGACATAAATCACAAAACAAATCTGTATTAGAAAAAAAATACTATGTAACTCTATTGAACATGTGAAGAATACTACGTAACTCCTATTGAACATGTGAAGAATACTACTATTGAACATGTGAATACTACGTAATTCGTATTGAACATGTGAATACTATGTAACTCGTATTGAACATGTGAAGAATACTACCTATTGAACACGTGAATACTATGTAACTCCTATTGAACATGTGAAGAATACTACGTAACTCGTATTGAACATGTGAATAATACGTAACTCGTATTGAACATGTGAATACTACGTAACTCCTATTGAACATGTGAAGAATACTACGTAACTCCTATTGAACATGTGAATACTAAGTTAAGTATTCTTCACATGTTCAATAGGAGTTACGTAGTATTCTTCACATGTTCAATAGGAGTTACGTAGTATTCACATGTTCAATAGGAGTTACGTAGTATTCACATGTTCAATAGGAGTTACATAGTATTCACATGTTCAATAGGAGTTACTAACTCCTATTGAACATGTGAATACTACGTAACTCCTATTGAACATGTGAATACTACGTAACTCCTATTGAACATGTGAAGAATACTTAACTTCCATCACATATTACTGAACCATAGCAGATCACTTATTTAAATATTCCAGTTGTTAATCATAATATTTAAATAATCTTACACAAAAGCATCAAGTTTATCATTGGAAATAATCTCATACAATAACCTAATCTTAGATGTAATCATACCTCACAAATACAGTAAGGAATTAATCCAGCCATTCCGAGCCTTGGTACTAAGCGAAAGGCCTCATCAACACTGGATATGACAAATAGTGTGGCCAACATATTACAAAATATTCATCGTTACTTTTACTCATACGTTTTAAAAATTACTGGGAAAGCACAGCTAATACGTGTTTTTTACTGGTGTGAAAATTAGGTTAAACCTTTAAAACTTACACAAGTAATTTCTATTTGTTTAAACCATGGCTTTAAAACTTACACGAGTAATTTCCATTTGCCGGTACAAATCGTCTTGCTTACTGGGAACAAGGCAAAAACAGCTCAGGTTGGCTAAGATTAAAAGGTCGATCTTCTCTCGCCACTCTTTACATAGTTTATTTTGGCCCTGCTTCAAAACTCCTAAACACAGTGTACATACCAGTTACAGAATAACTCAGAAAACAACTGGGATAACTAATGTTTACATTAACTCTTGTAAATATTTCTTACATATATCAAACTCATAACTAGATGTACGTACATCTGATAAACAACCACACCACAAAAAAAAGGTACCTGTGGCCAATATTTCAAATGAGTGGAACAGAACTAACAGGAAGGCTTAGCAATCATCCATGAAGGTTTTTATTTCGTTCTTAAAAGTTTGTTTGTTTTTTAAATGAAGGGCTCTTTTAAATAAATAAACTTCTATGCTGAAACTTAATTTGTAAACATAGTCTTTCATTTAAGATGGTAAATTTTGTTATTTCTTTCTCTCTCACGTTCGTTACAGCATTATTTATCTAATCAAAATTTTACTCTATTTAACTAAGAACTTGTCATGCTGAACTGGAAACTTTAACTATGATCTTACCGATAGCACTACTCAAGAGAAGACTGACAAATTCACCACCAGGAAATCCAGGTTCATTTCGAAGAAACCTAAGTACATTTTTTCTTTTTAATACAAATGTAAAATATGTAAAACAACATTTACTTGTGTTCACTACCTGACTTTAAGGCCAATTAAACTATTCTTAGATTCAAATAATCAATAAATTATTTTTATACTTAAATCATCAGTGAATCT